TACTGTCACTTGTAGGTATTTGAGATCTTGTAATTCTGCTAAACAAACGTTGGTTAGGAGAACCTAATTTATTATTTCGAGGAGTGTTTCTCCAATTCAATAAAGCAAGTTGAACATCTGACTTGTCAATGCTACATTTTCTTAGTATATTTTTTGCTGTTTGGACTGCTTTCTCAGCAAGCCCATTGCCTTGATGGTGATGTGGACTGGATGTGACATGGTTGAATTTCCATTCTTTTTGGAAGAGCTTAAATTCTCTAGACATATACTGTGTTCCATTATCAGTTTGTAGTTCTTCGGGTACTCCATGTACAGAAAACCATTTTTTTAGTTGCTCAATTACTTCATATGATGTCTGACTCTTTAATTGTTGAAAATCTAAAAATCCAGAGTAACTGTCACAGATCACTAGGTAAGTTTTCCCTTTTAATTCAAATAAATCTGATGCAACTATTTGCCAAGGGAGTGTAGGTATTTTCTTTACTAACACTATATCTTTAATATTGGTTCTTTGTGTTTGTTCACAGACTGAGCAGCTCTGAACTAGTTTTAGGATGTCATTATATTGTCCTTTCCAGTATAAAAACTGTCGAGCTCTTCTTAAGCAGCTTTGTATGCCTAGGTGTCCTTGATGAATAGCTTTTAACATTTTAGAGATTTGTGATTTTGGAATTACTATTTTGTCACCTTTGAAAATTATACCTTTGAGATAACTAAACTCTTCTTTGAAGTTAAAATAATGTTGTAATTCTGTAGGAAGGTCATTGACTTTTTCTGGAAATCCTTGCTTTATTTTTTCAATTAGTAACTGTAAATGTGGATCATCTTTTGTGGCTTTAATCAACTCTTCTTTAGCATCTAATGACATTGGTAGTATTACGGCAACTTTCAAATTTTCTTCTTCTTCATGTTTTAGGTTGGGTGCATCACAGTCTCGGCTAAGAAAATCGGCCAAGGGTATTTCTGTACCCTTTTTGAATATGACTTTTGGTGAATATTGTGCAAGATTAAACATTATGCGTTGTAACCTTGCTGGAGCAGATTGTATATTTTTCTTAAAAATTGTTTCAAGAGGTTTGTGGTCTGACTCAACTGTTAGTTCTTTTCCATAAACATATTCATGGAACTTCTTGCATCCAAACAGTATAGCGAGAGCTTCTTTCTCGATTTGTGGATAATTCTGTTCAGATTTTGTCAAGGCTCTTGCTCCATAGGCAATTGGTTGTCCTTCTTGGAGAAGTGCAGCCCCAAGATTTTTAGAACTGGCATCTACGGTTAAAGTTACAGGTTTGTTAACATCATATAGCCTTAGTACTGGAGGGGTCTGTAGTACTTCTTTTATTTTGTTGAGAGCTTCATCGTGATGAATTTCCCAAATGAAATTTGTATTTTTGTTCAACAACTCTCTTAGTGGATTTGTTAGGTCCGACATGTTGGGAATAAACTTATTTAGGTAGGTAATCATACCTAGTAGTCTCTGTAGCTCTGTTTTATTTGATGATGTTCTCATAGCTTGTATGGCTTGGACCTTTTCTGGATCTGCTTCTAATCCATTAGCTGACACAATATGACCTAGAAATTTTATTCTTTTTGCTTCAAAAATACATTTGTCTTTATTGAGTGTGAAACCTGACACTTTTAATGTGTTGATAACTTCATTAACTGTTTTTCGGAGTTCTTCTTTTGTCTTTGCATGTAAAAATATGTCATCGATTGCCACTTTCACATTTTTGAATTTACTGAGCAAGTTTGTCAAAATTTCTTGAAAGATTTCAGGTGCGGATGAAACACCAAAAGGGAGTCTTTTAAAAGAATATCTTCCCCATGGGGTAGCAAAGGTTAATATTTTTTGTGTCCTCTCAGATAGCCTTATTTGCCAAAATCCTTTTGTACAGTCTAGCAATGCAAAGAATTTGGAACCTTTAATGTCTGCTGAGATCTCTTCTATACTTGTGAGTGGGAAGTGACGTCTCAGAATATATTTGTTCACATCAATTGGATCTATGCAGATTCTTATTTTTCTTTTTTGTCTTACAACAACCATAGGACTCACAGCAGGTGTCGGCTCTGTTTCCGGTTTGATGACATCTAATTTCACCATTCTGTCAAGTTCTTTTTTAACCTCATATCTTATTGCATGTGGTATTCGTCTTGATGATTTGATATCAAATTTTGGATTCTCAATAAGGTCAATGTCATACTCATAACCTCTATAACAGCCTAAGCCTTCAAATATGTCATTATATTGACTTTCTTTTAATGTCTTAACTCTAGCGATAAGTTCTAAGTTTTCACATGTACTAAGTCCTAAGATTGGTGTTACTTTTTCTGCAACTACCTTGAAAATAATGTCTGTTTCCTTGTTTTTTATTTTGCATAATAATTTTGTCTCACCTAGAACTTTCATTGTATCTTCTGTGTAACTAATCAGATTTCTTGTTCGGCTAGGTTTAAGAACTGCTTTTATTTTGTTTAATATGTACATTGGTAAAACATTGCATTCTGCACCTGTGTCTAATTTTATGTTAAAATTCACATTGCCAACTTTTATTCTTTCAATCCAATTTTTATTTTCACCAGCACTGATAGTAGATACATATATATCATCTTCAGAATCAGAGTTTTCTTCTAACATATTTATTTTATTTTTATGTTTATTATTAAATTTTTTGTTAGTGTGGCACATTTTGGCAAAGTGACCATTTTTATGACATTTGGTACATGGTTTATTGAACGCTGGGCATTCTCTACTTTTATGGTTTGTGCCACATCTTTTACAGTCAAAATTCTTGTTTTGCTTATTTAATGAACTTTTATTTTTCACCACTAAAACTTTATTTGTTTTACTTTTATCTTCAAACTCATCTAGTTGTTTTGACGCTTGTTCACTAGTCTTGCAAATAGCAATGGCTTTTGTAAGATCTAATTTGACTTCTGTTAATAATTTTTCTCTTATTTGATTCGATCTAATTCCGAATACTATTTTGTCTTTCAACATTTCATCAAGTAAGTTGTCAAATTCACATTTACTTGCTTGAGTTTTTATTCTGGTCAAAAACTCATTAAATCTCTCATCTTCGTTTTGTTCAATCTTGAAAAATATGTATCTTTCGAAAGATGTATTGGTCTTTGGTGCAAAATAATCTTTGAACTTATCTTTAATTAATTGTAGGTTGTTTTTTTCCGTAACACTAAGATTGAAACTATTGTAAATTTCAATAGCGTCTGGGCCTATTATTGCCATAAATGTCGCTGCTTGAACTTCGGCTGGCTTCTTATCTAATTGAATAGCTGTAGCATACCATTCAAACTGTTGTAACCACTTTTTCCAGCTCGTTGATTTGTCCAAGTCAATTTGTAGGTTATTTGGCGGCTTTATACCAGATACTGCGTCGTTTGTGTTCGTCGTCATTTTACAACTTTCTTACGTATTTTCTTTATTGCATCACGTAATTATCCCATTCTGACACCATGTGACGTTAGGTTTTTATTTAATAAAACGTAAGTTTTGAAAATAGTAAGCGGTTTTTATTATAGTAACACAGACTAACTTTTTAATGACAATCATATCTATATGGACACAGACTAGTTAACGTTACAGTATCGTACACAATTTGTCTCGATGACGCAATCTCGTCTTATTTTCAAATAGTTGTTGATCCTGTTTGACAAAAATACCAACTTCGTATATATAGATTGATGGCAGGGTCATAATATTTAGTTTAATAAAATATGCTCCTAACACATTTTTTCTGGGCTCTAAAGGCTGTTACAGAATCAGTCGAATATCCCCAAAATATAATGCCGTATCGAACAGTAGAAACTACGTACGCGTGATAAGCTGTAAGGATCGTGCACTGATTCGCGATCCTACTAAGTTTGTACAGTGCACAAGAATACTGGGACAACTTTTTGTAAACATGTTCAGTTTGTGTTTTCCAAGTCAAATTTATTATTATAGTATTGATTAAAGTACTGATTTGATAAAAAAACGTGCTTGATTTATTTATGTCGTATGTAATGGTATTTTTATATCTTATAGCTTAAATACAATGATGTCACAACTTACCTCGGTAGCTGTCACAACTTACCTCGGTGGTAGGAGAGTTGTGACAAGGGGAGTGGACTTGAATTTTGTTATTTTTTTCAGAAACTATTATACTTTAATTAATTTTAGTGATGGTTTTGAAAACAGAAGGAATGGCGCTAAACTAATTCACATGAGTTATAACTGTGGAATGTTTCTTAAGCGAGATAGAGCCCCTTATGTAAAAATTGTCACAACTCTCCTAGGTCTCCCCTACATATGCAAGTATTATGTAAATCTGGGACAACGAAGGGAACACAAGACCCAATTCCGGGATATAGAGTTCATTTTCTATTGTAAAACGAAACTACCGATAATTATTTTCTGCTGAGAGTTTTATACTAATGCGCCTGTTAAATATTGTAGAAAATATATAATATCACACTATCGAGCATCCACCAATATGGACGCGCCTGAACGTGCCTGAACCCCGCTGTATGTGAACAAGATGCATACCTAATGCGTTGTATTTCGTGGGTATTTAATTTAAACAAGACTCACTATAAATTTTAATCTGGTCATTCGGTTATCGTCTCTTTTGGTGGATCTGCTCTGAAGATTCACAATGCCCCAAATTAGTTGGAACTTACTGTACTTTATGTATTCTTATTAGATACAAAAATCATTTTGCCCCGAGGAACTCTAAGAAGGAACAATCTCGGTACCTCGGGAAATGGTTTTTTAAGCATTTTTCATTAAGAATATTCTCCAGTATAGATTTGTGAATGCAAAATTTATCAAATATAATAATCTTGTTATAGTTTATCAGTAACACTTAAATTACAGTCCTAGCAACACTCCACAAAGTGAAAAATGTAAAAATATTAAACCTCCAGACAAACAAAATACCCCTGTCAATATAGATTGGGTCAAAGCAACGCTTAAATTTATCCAAGATGACACTTGGTATAAAATGGAATACCCAGTGATGAGTTTTAATGAGGCGGACTTAGTGTACTCTGTTATAAGGCAGAGGGATGAAGTTGATGTGACTAGTATGGGACCACTGTGTAGTAAATTAGTGGAGGCTATTAAATTGTTAAATGAAAATCAAGAGCTTAAAACCAGCTTTTTACATGTTGGAACCGATAAAGTGTAAGTATTATTCATTAAGACGTATTTTATTCACTGATTCAGAACGCCGTCATTTATAAAAGAAGTGCATTTAAATTGTGTCATGTAAAAATGTATGTTTTTCATTTATTTTGACTCGATAGCTTGTGCCGGTGTTCTAATTGAATTCATTATTTTTCTATCAATTTAAATAACCTCTATTGATATTGTATAAATGATGGCTCTAATAGAGAACTTTTGTTACAGGCAATTGTCTATTGAAAAGAAACCACTCGGCGACAATAACATTGGGAGAAAGTGAGTACTTGAACTCTTTAAACTTTCAATCATTGTATTGTGTATGCATATTTATTTAAGTATAATATAATTTAAATAGTTTAGACAATATTATTCTGCGTAAAAATCTATACATAGTATAGTCAGGAAGAGACTATACTACGTACGCGGAGATCTTTAACAAGGCATGACCTATGTCTATGATATGTTTTATTCTAACAATATCACAGACTGTTGTTGTCATAAGTTAAAAGAAGCAAGCATATGCAAATGTTAATAATATCCACCATGAGAAGAAGGCTGCAAAAGTACTATTTATTGCACAATTACGAAGTAGAATTGTGCTTATAGCTTTGATCGACAAACGAATCAGAGACCCTTGAAATCTTACTATGGCTCTTATCGTCGTTGATTCTATGTTTTAGGGGGCGTCCATAAATTACGTGAGATGTTTAAGGGGGGGAGGGAGTTGGAGAGAGGGGGGTCTCGGCAAATATCACGCAATTTTTAAAATAAGGCTCGGTGCGGGGAATCCCTCATAGAGTGACTAGTCTAAGGTTAAGATCATTCACTAATAATTTCATTCGTACTTTGACATTATACATCACTCCTGATTGTCAAACCACTATACTCGTTTTATACCAAATAGCTCAATTTAATTTGAATTTACGGTACAATGTAGCCCGTCCTTTGTTTTCGCGCCACTGTCAGCTGAACGTGTGACTCGATGAATGAGAGCGTACGAGCTGAGTGCAGCGACACACGGACAGGTTCCAACCTGCTTTGTTTATTCTTGCAAATGTTTTACTCGACTCAGTGCATGCTCTTATTAAGTTAAAATGAGTTATCAAGATTTTTATAAGGCATACGTCAAAAGATACGTCTATAAGACGAAGAAGTCCTGTCAGAACGATGTGATAAAATTATGGAATACAGCGAAGGAAAAATTCCCGAAGAAAGAAGATTTAATACATCACATTCAACATGAGATTGAACGGCTTCTCAGGGAAGCTACTGAGAGAAAAGTTCGGTCTACTTTAGCATTTCTTCAAAAGCTAGGTTAAATATATTTTTCTAAGAAAATACTTCTTTTATATAAACTTTATTATTACAATTAATAGCATAAAAAAAACTGAAACAGTGAAATTCTTGATAAAATGTGATAAAATCATATCTACAAAATATTAGCGCGGTCATTTCTTTTACTGTTTTCAGAGCACAGGCGTGATTTTTCAGGGCAGATGATTTTACTGAAAATCATATGGACATACTGGTTCCAATAGTCTCTCTCGAGACAGTGCATGATTCTCCATGGACTGAATTAGAGTATATATTCCTTTTTTAATCGCAGTAGTTACGAATTAAGTATTCTATTGTTTAATCTTTATTACACTTGTAGCTCTCAGCAATATTGATTACTTACTAGTATCTAACTAGTCGTAAATAAAAGTATGAAGCGATTTTTTTTTTCTTTTTATTAAAAAAATCCAACGTGTTTAAATAAGAAACCCACATTTTGAAAAATCTCACGTGAGATTTGGGGATGGGGGAGGGGATTGAATAAAATCTCACGATATCTCACCAGGGGGGAGGGAGGGTCAGAAAATTTGAGAAAACACCTCACGTAATTTATGGACGCCCCCTTACATCTACTATTTTGCGACAAACGCTGCTTCATAGAACTCTCAATAGCACGTCGTGTTATTAATTTATCCTATCGATTTAAAGCTCAAAATCGATTATAAAAGTTACTGATCTTTGTTGTTTACAGAGATCTTAGCAATATTAAATCTTCGGAAACGGATTCTGAAACAATGACCAAATTCGAAAAAACATTCTTGAGACGGAAGGAGATGATAGAAAATCTAAACAAAGCATTCATCAACACAACTTTAAAAATGATTTTGGACTTTGTGTCTACGGAGGCAGAGGCGAGTTTGATATTTAAGAATGCCAATGAACATCAGTATACGTTCATACAAAGCGCATGCGCGATGGCTAAAACGCCGAGGTTCTATGTATTGTTTTCCAGTGACACCGCAAACCTTTTGAGGAGTATATGTAAGGTTCTTACAGCGAATCCGTGCTATGAACTTAAAGTTGACGTTGCCAAAGTGCAGAAGGATAATAAGCTTAGGTGTGTATAATTAACACTTGTGATATTTTAGGTCTATGCTATAGACTTCTGTTTATTACAAAATTCCCTCATTAGACGTAAATTACTTGAAATGTATTTTAAAATGTTATTTCTCTTTCCAGGACAGTTACTTTAACAAAATTTCCTAAGTATTTAGATGAGAATAAAAGGTAAGTACCTATCCGACATTTTTTCAGCGTATATTCGAGATTTTTAAAATATTTTCTCTATATTTTTTGCAAATGTTCTTAACAGACTTATTTGACCTACAATAATTGTCATAAATGATTTTATGTTACTTGGTTTCGTCTAGTAGATCATCCAAATAATTAAAAATTCTTACAATGTATCAATGAAATACTTTTGTATTTACGCACATTTTGAAGACATCATCCTATTTTTACCCTGTAATAAACTTACCATTATAAAAGTGAAGTAGCCAAGTGGCTACTTCAGTTTTATTTCAGTTTTTCTTACTGTTAAAATTAACAGTTCATAAAATGGTTATTACAGTTTTATAATCGAGTCGTTTTCGTTTTCTAATGATTTCAGTTTGCCAAAAAACGAAAACCAAGTCGGTTCTGCGAGTTCTTCGTTCTCTGAAAACATATCTACGAGCTTAGATCAGAAGTAAGATGTAATCTGTTTTCGACGGTTAAATTAGAATTACAAAAACATGTATTTATATACGTACGTTTGTGCATATTTTAGAAATCATCAAGTGAAGGGCGTGACATTTGAAAGTGGTGGTAAATTAGAAACTCTTGTTGGTGGAATCATAGATAAAGTAAATGAAACCTCAAATGCAGACAAACATGATGAAAAATTACCAACTTTAAAAAAAGATAAAATCCTTGCACTTAACGAGGGGGAAAAATCTTTAAACGAAATGGATAAGGAGAATGAGACCCCAATAAAACAAGAGCAAAGTAAAATTACTCCTATTCTACCCAATACAATTGAAAAAGAACAAACTAAAAATGAATATGTCTCTAAATCTCAAAATACAGAAAAGTTAAATAAAGCACCTCTAGCTAAAGTAAACGAAAACAAATTAACAGATAACATTCCAAAAGCAGAGATTGCAGAAGAATCAAAGGTATCTGACGAAAAAAGGCAAAGTAGACTTTCTAGGATAGATTTAAAGGATCAAAATAATTCGTCAGTTGATAAAAGATCATTTAGCGTCCCACCACATATTAAAGATGGAGTATATGATAAAACTAAAGGGGGTATAAATGTAGCAACTGACGGTAGACGCTTGAGTAGCAGAAAAACAAGGTTGTTAGAAGCAATGGCGATTCCGATGGAAAGTGATATTGCAATGAGGTTTGTATTGTTTCCGGAGTTGCATCTAAACTGTGTTCTATAAATTATATAATTTTATAAATGATCCCTCTTCTATTAATGATGTATTGAAATTTATTTTAAATGTAGAATGATGCGACAAATGGGATGGGACGGTGGACCACTGGGCCTTAGGGGTGATGGGATCACAGAACCAATTGTACCAGTTTTGCACTTGGTGAGTATTTTTTTTGTATTTTTATAAATACAAACCTATTTCAATAACATAAATGTGAACATAGCTTTAAAATGTAACATAAAAAGTTAGAAACTTAACCTATTTATAATATTAGTTTAGACAAGCAACCTTATTGGGAATTAAGTAACTATCAGCCAGTTGCATAAACGTCAATTAAAATTGTCATAAGTTTAAAGCGACATTACCGATACAAATTTGACATCCATTAGAGTTTAAATGCGTCATTAACCCTTAATGGACGTTTGTGCAATTGACCGTATGTGAATATATTGTATTTTTGTCACTTTCTAGACTCCTGGAGCCGGTCTAGGTCATGTAAAACCAGATAATAAAACAAAGATCCCGTTAAATTTTCGGAGAGACTTCTTAAAAGATGTGCTCATTCTTCTTAAAGACAAAACACTAAAACATGTTATTGAACATAAGACACCACTTGTCAGTCAACAAAAGAAATACATAATGGATACAATCATGTGTCTTAATAACAGAGATAAAATGAATGAAAACGAAGAGGGAATGAAAGAGTTAGTCGATGAGATTATGAATAAACTATTTCGTGAACCCACTTTGCACTTGGTCTGCGGTTTCTTATCCAACAAAAGGTGAGTTTTCCATATTTTATTTGTCTATACTTAAATTTTATTTTTCAAAGCAGTATCCTTAATTTCTTTATATTTATTTAGATGACAATGATATTAAATGTTTGTATATTGATAACTAATAATCAACGTCCAATGGTTACATTTTAAAACTTCCGTAATCTCATTAGCGAGTAATCTACATTTCGTTGCGTTATTACTATTGAATATTTTCATATCAACAGACAACTAACCATCCTCAAAGAAATAAGAAAGCTCGAGGGAAAGGAAATCAAAACACTACAAAACGAGAGAGACACCGCCGTTTGGGAAAAATGTGTCCAACTACCCGCTATTATAACTACGCAATGCGCAAAAAGTATTGGCAAACATTACGATAAAAAGAAGGCAAAAGCGGGAAAACTGGGCCTTTCTCTAATTTTACAATATAAAATTTTGGAATTTTTGAAAAACGAACTTACAGAGAACGTAATTGAATTCGATTTCGATTTGCCTAAAAAAAGCGTTAATTCCATAAAGTTTGTCATACAAAGAGTGAATGCACGGGGTAACCCGATTTGTCAGAATACTTTTGAATATGATATAGGTATGGAAACGTTGAAATATGCTAAAGACAAATTGTTGTCTATATTTTGGGATGAGAAACGGTAAGTTGTTTATTTTCACACCCTTTTTTTGTTTCTTTTTCATTTTGATATTACTTTGTTGGTTAAAATCAGACGGGAAAAATTTAATTACCATATTTTAATTACTCTAAATTGATTTTATCATTTTGTAAATGAAATCAAAAAAATCCTTAATTGGTATTAACATTTCAACGCGACTATTTATAATAAGACAAGAAAATGTTGTAGATCTTGTTTTAAAATAAAATAAATAATTTATTTAACGTATATTTCAACAGGTCATTGATATTACGTAAAACTTTCTTGAAGAAACCACCAGCACTCGACTCTAAAAAACTGAGCGATCTTGCAAATAACAACAGTAGTCTTATTGACAATAACAAAATAGCAGCAAGCGATGTTGAAGAAGATTTTAGCACTGAAGCTGATGACGTTCAAAACGTTATCGGTAAAGATAGTAATGTCACTGACGATATGAAAAATTGTGTAGAGGACTGGAATGAGATAGCGTCTGATGACTCTTTCGTAATTAAAGAAGAGGTTAACGCTGGAAATTCTAATGGAATGTCTGAAGAAGATATCTATGTTGATGGCAATATAAGAGAACAGGACCCTATTAGAGATACCGTTGCAAATGGTCAAATCGGATATGGCGATAATGTTACATCGCATGCCAAAAGATTACGTTCCGATTCAGATATCTCGAACAAAATAATGAAGAAATCAAAACTAATAAGGAATATAATTTATTTATTCATAACACCGAACGACAGTGATAAAATCACCAATGACGAAGTGAGAAAATTTCAATCGGCGATTTCTGAACAACTGGACAATACAAAACTACCTTTGCTAGAGTGTCATGGCGTCGAAAATGGCGTGTTAATCTATGGCTGTCACAACGAAGCTGGCACGTCGCTCGTCAAGAGTGTTGCCAACGAAATGAATTGCACTGCCGAGTCGTGTGAAAGGTTTCGGGAGAAGAGCAATCGTAAAATGAAAGTAAAATTAAACAGTTACGTGGGTATAAATTTAAAGAAGCTCTTTAATTTGATCGAGGTTTACAACGCCGGGTTGTCAACTGAATGTTGGTCCGTTCATGACGTAGAAGTGCGCAGAGGAAAGATCATTCTCGTATTAGAGGTAGATTATGTATCTTTCGAATATATATTGGAAAACAATTTTAGACTGTTTGCTGGTGTTGATAGATTGAGATTCTGCCTGGCGTGGGAATAAGTGAGATATCTCAAAATTTGTGTATTCTGGATTAGATCTATGTACATCGAACCAAAACAAAGACAATGGTAATAGGTAATGGCAAAAAATAAACAATAACATTGTTCTTCGAACGGGACATTACACATATATAAATTATGACAACTCGAAAAAATTATATAACAATGATTTGTTAAAACAGTTTTTTTTTTGGTTTGGTGAACATAGCTTTTTTTTACTTTATTTTTGTGAAATGACTTTCTTTTCCGACATTTGATGTTAACTAGCTCCACCGTTAAGAAGTATACATTCTGCAAATAGGTAATTTTGAACTTAGTCTTCTTCATGCACCATTACAAAACTATTATAAATTAAATTCAGGTTAGTTACAGTATTAAAAACTCGAGAAAGGCTGGACCTTTTTTCATTAAAATATTAAATTTAAATTTAAAAGGGTCGACGAAGTGTGACAGAACAATATTTAGTAGAATATATATGTATATACAAATTATGAATGGAGGGGGGGTTTAATAATCATTAATTTCGTGTGGCGTATTTTATGGAAGGCCCCTTTATGGCTTATTAGCATTTACACTATTCCGCCAATGTTACGTTGGTGTCCTTTACACGTAAGGAAGTACACGCATGAGTAAATTGTTATGTCACAGTCATAACGTCAAACAAAGACAGGGATATTAATGTGATAGATCTGCTCAGTACTCAGCGATTTTTTATTTTATTATTAGAAATTAATTTAGTCAAGATGCAGGAGCATGCTATTCATGGCACTAAAAGTCTTCAATCCTCTTTTCGCGCGGTACGTTCTAGGTATTACATGCCTATTTGTTAAAATAACTCTTGATAAAGGCTTTAAATGTATCTGCAGTTTAGGTAAATAAACCAAATCGTAGCAGCCGAAGCTAGTTTAAAACTTTTTTTATATTACAATTTACGTAGCTACTACCAATTATTTAAATACAAGGTTCGCAGACATATCCATACCATGACAACATATCTTAAGCAATAAAAATGTATCTCACTATTTATTACATACTCTTTTAATACTCGTATTATACTACTTATACAAATTATATTATTTATAACGGTACATATCTGACGGCAGAGAACGAACAAATCCTATTAATATTATAAATGCCAAGTTTGTGCGGATGGATTCGTTACTCTTTCGCCTAAAAACTACTGAACCGTTCTTGATGTCATTTGGTATAAGGATAATTCTAAGCCTGACTTAACATAAAGGCAAATTTTCCCAACTAAACGTCCCCTAGGGATGTCAAATCAACATAGGCGAAGCCGCTGGCAGAAAACTAGTATATGGTATGATATTCAACCATGCATATTAAATTGAAGGCATACTTTCGAAAGACGCTTGATGAATTTTCCGGCAAATTTACACCAACTACGACCCTTGATCTAGATTGACAGCCGTGATTTTTTTTATATTAATTTACTTTTACTCAAATTCATGTTTAAAATTGTGTTTTTGAAAAAGGGTCCATGCAAGAATAAGAATGTGTTTCATATAATGTCTGCAAATTACGGATAGTCCGGCAAATAATTTTATTGCTTATAATAAAGACTAAAACAGTAGGAACTTTTTCGCCACATCGAAATCGACCATAACAACAGATACTTATTGATGACAACTCATTAGTTGTAGCTAAAATCTGTCGGTATTTTAATTGTTTGATATGTTTCAGCGCACACTTCTCATTTTGTAATAAAACTTAATATGCGATTCAAATAAGAATAGTACCCTTAAAGGCCGTCTTGTTTACGTTTCAGCTTCAGAGTGTAAATTCGAATTCAGGTTAGGATTTTTACGGACTCGCCCCGCTATTTAGGTTGGCAAGCGTCAATAATGTTGTCAACTTCATATTTAGTGATTTAGAAAAGAACAAGAGACCAATTTACAAAATATATTTTATATTTTTTTTATAAAGAAGTGTCAATACTAATTTTATTTTATTTTTCATGGTAGATCCACGGTTGTATAAATGATCTTACAATATCGTTACATACATCAGATAACCAATTACAGATCCACACAGTTAGCCCTAAAATTAAGTAACAATTTTGAGTTCACTCGGTAATTTATCGTATATAATGCGTTCCCACTTTGTGAGGTATGACCAAAGGCAAAAGACACACATTACACAAAAGACACACGCAAACAGAGAATCACAATACATTTCTTCTTTTTTCCTTCTGAATCAGATACTTAATCATTCAATTGTAATTTCAAATAATATAATGCATGTATTAAATTAAACGTATCAAAAAAACTATAAGCCAACTTTATTTTCTTTGCTGTCAGTACTAAAATGACACCTGAGCCGTAAAGTTGGTAGCTAATCGGATTCTATTATTATTTGGCTCGCATAGTAGATATTTTTTTAATTAACAGCTTTTACTGTTTACAAAAATGTAACCTTAGAATAAGATTAGTATTTTTAGGTACGTTTTATTGTGATATTATTAAGTTTGTAGATATATATGAACAACATTTGATCTCTTTTGATCTCCTTTACAAATATTTTAATTTTAGTCGGATTCAGTATTTATTAACTTCACGTAAGTACCTAAATGTCCATTTCACTGTGGCGCGCTATGAAGACTTGTATTAGGACATGTTTTTTAGTAAATGGGAGTATTTGCATCTTTTCTTTTTCTGAATGTAATAGAAATAGTGATTCAGTAATGTTTCACTTCAATATTAGAAAAAGGAATGGAAATTTGCTTTCTTAAGTTTAAGTTAAGGCCATCGTTCTCTTAGTTTTGTTACAGTTATCATGCAGTTCAAAATTCGCATTCTAACGGCATGTCAGCTTCGCAATTGTAGGTAAGTTCTAGTGCAATCAACATAAATGCATGTTGATTACACTATGACTGCACAGTTTGCTTCACTAGTCAATGTCACACAATTGGAGAGGTAGATCTAATAATGACATGATAATTTATAAAATAGTGTTGTTGCTCATGCTGATATTAGTGCAGATGTAGATCATTGGCCTATTTCCAATGAAAGTATTATTTCTTATTATATTATTTTACTTATATAGAGTAAAAAAAAAGAGTCTTAGGGCCTAAAATCCGCATCTCTGACCAAAGTTTGAATCACAATGCAATAAACGTTTAGTTTTCCATCAAAAGAAAGCTTGCCTGGGGACATTCCTGACACTGCTGTTATTCAAACAATATAATTTGTCTACAGTTTTGTCCAGTCCCTCTGAAATATGTCTTAGTAATGTTGAGTATAAATGACTTGTATTTTTTGATATTGAAAGAGTAATATGATGATTATATATATGATATTTGAGTAATCATGGACGATTTAAAATATTGTATTTTTAAAAATATATATGACTGATAATTTTAGATATCTCCGTTTATGGTGGGATTATCTTGTAAGAATAGCTTATGAGTGCCAAGTTATAATTTCAATATTTTAAACTGGTTTGATATAGTATGTGTCTGGGGCAGATGAAAAAACGGACAAACACATAAAGTATTATGTGAGCGTTGAAAGTAAACGATATGTATCGCTATCATATATACGTATCGATACAATAGAGCTCCATCGCTTCCGCGGAGTACTGCCTATTATAGTACGGGTCCCGTACAGCAAAACGGAGTATGTACTTCGCAGCTACGAAACAGATATCTATGGATAGCGATAGTTATCGCTTTCTTTAAATATTCACATAATACTATATTTGGTTTTTGGCGTGGCCTTGGAACAGACATACTCATCAAAATGTGATCCCGCTAAGGCATTGGATATTAAAACAGTCTCATAATAAAGGGCAGTAAAGAAGCGCTGTAACATGGGCCGATTCCAATGGCGCGTCTACATATACTCGACGGCATAGCCATTGGCCAAACTTTCTTTACCCGTGGCTGTGCCGTTACAGCGGCACTCGCGGGTTATACGAATGCATTAAAAACACTAATCTTGGAATAGCAGATAAATTAGACTGAAAAATCTGTGGCTATGCCGACAGCTGTGGATGCGCTATTACTTTGATGTGTAGTTATATCTATAGACCATACAAAACTTCAGGCGTCCAAATTGTAAACACGCTCTCATTTTGCTCAAAATCTTAATATTTATTTATTTCACGTTATGATTACGTTGATTAATACTTTATATTGTTTAGGTTAAAGAGTCTATTAAATAACTAAGTTATTCGTAAGTTAAAGATTTTAAAGTCATTAGTTAGATATTTTTTCTATTTAGTTAGGCCTAACTAGTAGTTATGGATTGAAATTGTTATTAATGTTTATTTTTTTAAATAGAAAATCTTCTATTTGATGAGATCTAACGAAACTCATTTCCTACGAGTTAAATATACCCAAGGATTTCTCTTATATTGTGATCCTACCCCACTTCACTTTCATTATAACTATGTTCTGTGCACCTATGTGTAATAGGATTTCAAGAAATTTAGACATTGTTACTTAGAAAATAGAATTCATATTTGCTAATAAATGTTCTCGAGAACTATATGCCCACGCGAATGCATCCGTGTTGACATAGAGCGTTCTAATAAAAACTTGACATAGAATATATATTAATCATAAAACAAGACGGGGACATACTTTTAAAACGGCGTGTCGTATTGAATAATAAACCATGGCGAAAGATGCTTTAGTTTGAACTGCAGCTCTACTGTATATATACTGTATATACTGTACTGTCATATAGGCAGTAGAGGTGAAAATCTGTTGCAGAAGACATATTATGCCAATGTAGTTACGCGGTAAGCCTTATATAGTATGATATAGTAACCAAGCATTGCATTTCAAAATGATGTTCCCAACTTCCCTGATATGAAAACAATATGGAATTCTCATGGAATGTAATTTCCATTATACTTTTACTTTAGTGTTTTAAGATTCAAAAATTGTTCTTTATGTATTCGATGTTGCCAAAATGTTGATTGTCTATACATATGAAAAATTCGTGAAAAGCTAATAAATATGATTTTACGATTAATCGTTTTGTTTCACTTTGAGCTCATATATAGGTAGGTATGTGAATTAGGCTTTTATGCATTGTAATGTAACAAAATAAATCTATACATAATATAAAACAAAGTCAATTCTCGCTGTCTGTACGCTGAGATCTTTCAAACTGTGAATGGATGGAATTGGTGGTTTTCATCACGTTACAGTTATACAAGAGGAAGATTTATAATACAGAAGCTGTTTCCGGAAAGCTAGTATATTATGTGGTATGATCCATTTATTACGTTGGACTATTTGGAGTGAGGGGTTCTACCGTGCTTTACCTTTAAAAAAACATCTAGATACGTATAAATTGATTTTTAAAAGTAAGAAAATATAAAACCTGATATTATCAAACACTAATAAAGTATGTTTCCTTCTGTAATGAGACTGTAAGTAGATAATCAAAAGGATAGTATTGTTAGACATTCATCGACATCTAAAGTATTGAGTAGGTTAAACACAAAACAACTAAGGAATAAAATTAAAACAATATATTAGTAATTAGAAAAAGTTTATATTAATGTCAAAGAAAAACATAATTAGCCTGGTGGCCAGCCCAGCTGGCGTCCACCTAAGATGTGAATGTGCAGGTGGTATACACTCTGACAGCCATTCTTGCCATCATTGATTACTAGGCGGAAACCAGTCTTGTCCAAGCCTTCTTGAGCTGCCACTTTACGAGCAGCAACTAGAAGGTGCCCTAAATGAGAAAAGTGTAATGTGTGATATGAAAACCTGGTTTAAGTAATTTAACAATGTAAAGAACAGATTTAACATATTACAAATGTAGAAATCAACTGTAATTTGATTAAATTCAATCAACATAATTAAACATTTTTGAAATTAACATATAAATAAATATACCTAATAACTGCTCATCTTCATCTTCTGCCTTGGAAAGCTGCACAATAGGCTTCCTAGGAATCACCAAAATATGAGTTGGTGCTTGTGGATTCACATCGTGAAATGCCACACACTACAAAAATTAATAGATTTAGGTTAATATTGAGTGAAGTTTAGCAGTTAATCTGTTCATTAACTCACATCAAACATTTTCAACAAAACAACATCAGACACACGATGACATATTTATCAAATTTCGATACTCAAATTACTTTAAGATATTAAAGACAATATTCAAAAATGTTTTGCTTGTGACTCTAGTTTTCTTTCGAGAATTAATTTTTATTTTTTAAATACTTCCATCATAGAGTATATGAACACTACGTTTAACGTTTGACTTCTATATTGAAAACTGAGAATTGTGCAGGTAAGCTCGGAGGCCGCCACACACGCTCGGTTATTCTTGCGCGCAAACTTAACCGGGCGGCATAAAATATCAATTTTGATATTCGCTTTGTATGCGCCAATAACTTTACAATTTATCCCATATTCATTCAACTGGTGGAATAGGTACTTGGCAAAGTTAAAGATTCTATTTTGTTGTAAATAGAACAGTTGATCGAACAAATCAAGTGGAGTTTGGCAGTTAATTTGTTGATTAGTTAACATCAAAAGTTTAATATGACTGAACTTACTTATAATGTAAATAATAACATATTCAATTGGCCGAATAAAAATGTTATTCAGTCAGCTGATGATAATAGAACAGCTGATCGAATAACGTCACAAATGTAATTAATTAATTTTATTATGAAGCAAGTAACCTATGTCGCCGATCGGTATTCACTATAAAAAAAATATATATATATTATACCTGTTCGTCTTCGTACACAAATTTTGCTGGGATTTCTTTTCTTAAAATCTTCCCAAATATCGTATCACCGCCTGGAACGGCGGATTGCGCTAATTCCACTTCGCCACCTGCCATCTTTATTCGACTCCACAGACCAAGAAGAAGATACTACGTATTTCGACTCGCAGTCACAGACAAGGCTATTTACTCATGGCTCGATAGAATTTGTCCGATTTTGACTCGCTCGTCGATTTAAATTGCATGTATAATCAACTGATTTATTAGAGATCCGTATACCAAACAACTGTTTCTAAATTCAATATATCGTCGGCCCAGTGGTAACCTATGCAATCTGTAAAAGTCTCGCTTTTCAGGAGAGTAAAAAGAAGACAATAATTGTTACTGTAAATCGGGTTTTAACTTTACATTTTTTTTTATTTATGAGTAATATTGCACTTTAGGTAGATATAAATAAAATTATAATTTTTACGTAATTAAAGCAGATTAACTTGTTTACCGTGGTCAAAATGAGACAAGTAAAATAATTTCACTGTGTTCAAGTAGCCAAAGTGGTAGATACGTGAGTTGGCTACGGTGGCGTATTTTATACGACGTACAATTTTGATTGAAAACTACCCTAAGTGATTCTTTGCACGAAGGTAAACTAATCAATCTGCCATTTAAACAAGTTGACCATGGTGATATTTTAATAAGTAACTGATTTTGGTTTTGATAAACTGAACATTTTTTCACATTAATCAGTTTACTTTTACACTAATTTTAGATTTGGCAGATGAGCACTTTCGAACAACATTTATCTCGGTAATTATTAAACTTACATTTATAGGATTTTGTTTTGGCATATTTAACTCAAAACTGCCAAAATTGCAGATTAAATAGTTTACCACTGGACCAACGATGTTTTCATTTATGAAGTATAAAGTGTGTTGTTTACGATTTTGGCGTACACGTGTCCAATTAGTTAGCATGTTTTATCTGCGATTATGAATATGAAGCAACGTTCGCAAAGGCCGGTAATGGATAGGTGATCTATTTTTTATTTGGCTGAGCGGGGTGGAACAGTACAGGCGTTTACGGAATTGGAACGACGGACATAAAGGCCAGTAATGAGATGGGAGATCTTTTTTTTATTGGGTAGAGCGGGGCAGGTATTTATGAAGAATTAACGACGTTTTTTTGTTTGAATTGTCTCATCTAAATACCTAAAGCTAGAGGCAGCATGTCAAAAGGCTTTTGGACGCTCAGCGCGTATTCTACCTACCTCTGATCGCCGGAAGGCGAGTGACGGCTTGTAACAAAATAATAGATACCTTAATAACAGAACATAAAGGTTAAATTGTTTTGTAAAAAATATTTCCATTTTTATACATGGAAATATTTTAGATACCTATATGTTCAAATGGCGAATTTATTTATAACACCTTTATAAAATAAATAATAATACCTTTTCGATTTTTTTTAAAGTCAATATTGGTTTCCATGCGTCGCTTGGAAGATACCAGATTTAAAATTTTGATTGGAAAATTGGTGTTTTTGGAGTCACTGGCAGCTAGATTATGTGATAAGGAATTACTAAGGCTACTTTCCACGCGGACGAAATCGCCGGTACAGCTAGTTTAATTCTGTAATTTTTGCATTCACAATGCTGATATGGTATACATTGTCATAAATAGATTTTTAAGTATTGTTCAACCTGGATAATTATCACCATGAATCGATTACTAGTATTACTATGTTCGATTGATCGATGTGTATAATCATCGAACCGGCATATCATTCCAAAAATTTTTAATACCACCGTCTATTTAAAATATAATTAGTGCATTATTACTATTATTACTCCAACCGAGTTTTCGAGTGTTGCTAAAATAAAATTGTATGTTTGTGCGAGTAATTCTATTACAGCGCTGCTGTTACATTATTGAAAGTACGATATGAAATTACGAAATAAATAATCTATTTAATAATTCAAAACTGCGATCACTAAAAAATCTAACGTTTGGTATAAAATAGCGAAATAAAGAATCTATTAATACAAAATCGATAATTTTATGGTTACTGAATAATGAATCAATTAATAAATATCGATATTACTTATTAGTTTTGTGCCTGATTTTGTGTAGAAGAATGTTATAATCTATGATAAAGAAGTGGCTGTATGGATACTTCCAAAGCCGTAAAACTATTAATAAAAAAAGTGCTTGATTATTTGTAACCCATAGAGGAATAATAATAGGTTTGTAACCTCGTTTTATGTATGTGTTTTAAAAAGGACATATCACAATAAAAATGAGCGAAAATATGTTGATAACAGATATATTTACTAAGTTTCAAAAAGACCTTGATGCTGATCAAGAACTTCGAGAGGTAATTTGTAGCGACATTATTTTTGGTTGAGTTTATTGTATCGATGAGGGTTTTTAAAGGTTTAAACATATATAAATTATTTATACCGAATTGATTAGGAGTAATCTTAATTTAGTATGAAATTACGTGTTTATAGGTTATACGCACGATATGCAAAGAAGTCCAACAAATGTCCCGTGAAGCAGTAACCGTTTTGCAAATAATACACCATAAAGAAGAAGGCAGTAAGTTAAAATAGTAGCTTATAGTAATAAACTATAACATAAATAAACAATATAATATTAACATAAATCAAAATGGAATAAGCCTTTATTCAGACTCATTTATCTACTAAACAATATATAACATTACAAACAAAGTTCCTTAGTCTGATTGCTCTTTGGCAAAGGCCTAGTATCTTCCAAAGTTGTTTGTCTATGGCCTTCCTTCTCCATGTTGCACCTGCTGCTACCTTTATTTCATCCTCTAATCTTTTCTTTTGTCTTCTACACCTTTTCCCATCCCTTGGGTATATCACAGTTACATCCTTGGACCATTTACTTTTGCTTCTTCTTATTATATATCCTATTCATTTTTATATCATTCTTTTAACTGTGTATGTCACATCTGTTACACTGGTTTTAGCTTATGTCGGTCAATTTCATTCTGTCTCTTAATTTAACACTTAGCATACTCCTCTTTATTCTGTTTTGACATACTTGTAGAGCTTTTCTGTTAATGTCCATGCTGGCATCCATATGACATGCATGGTAATACACAAGTGTTAAACAATTTCTTTTTCTTTCATTGAGAATTTAGGATTCTTCAGTATTTCTTTAAGTGACTAATATCTATTACATGACTTATTTATTCTTGCTTCTACTTTTTGCATTTGGTCTTCTGGTGAAATTATCTGACCTAAGTATGTGTATTAGTTTATTCTACAATGTTATTATTTATTCTAATGACCTATGTTCCACTTGTCATCAATTTTGTCTTATTGGTGTTCATTTGCATACCCACTTGCGTCTGCTAGTTGTTGTATCATGGTTTGTAGATTATTTGGTTTTCCTTCTAAAATGATCAGATCATCTGCAAATCTATAATGATGCAATTTTTGTCCTGCAGTCCTGTGATTCTGTAAAAATCCAAACCAGAATTCGAATTCAGTCAGGTGTCCGGATTCACTTCAAAAAGTGGCATCTGCTCAATTGTGGATTGGTAATTATGTTTTGTGACATAACACATACATATAATTAATCAATGTTGTTTTGTATTTTTATACAAAAAAATAGAATCAATAGAATTTCTTCAATAAATTATGTGAATTCAGACACATGAGTGCATTTGAATTCGGGTTCGTATTTAAACAGAATCGCCCCACAGCTGAGAACAGTTTTATATTTTTTCCTAATTATCCTTATATATTTAATTTGTACACTCTGAATGTGTAGCATTCTCGACGAACTCGAGAACATTTTGTTTACACTCAAATATCACTTTTCTCAGGTGCACCCAAATTATATCTCTCTCTAGACCCAAGAAACTGACAAATGAGTGTAGATAAAAGCGTTTCTCTAGTTTGCCATGCTACACGTGCTGGTTTCTCAATGCTTTCAATATATAATAGGTCTTTACCTATGAAATTGCTGTTCTGCTGTACTGACCATTTCAAATCAAAATATTTTTTCTTAAATCGTCATTTGTTTTATTTTCAACGCATTCGAACATATTTCGTCGTCATGGATAAGTTAAAAATTCGAGTAAATATGGAGTATGAGTACCGTCGTGGCAGCAAAGAGGCACGCAACATCAACGACGTTTACGGAGAAACACTACACACGAACGCACTACCCGATATTGGTTTGACCGCTTCCGTTTTAGAAGTTTTGACCTGAAAAATGAACCCTGTGGTCGTCCGAAAACTTTGGTCGACAATGACGAAATAAAGGCGATTGTGGAAACTGATGAAATTCATTCTACGGCTGAATTAGCAGCAGCTTTCGACGTTAGCATCAAAACAATATTGGTCCATTTGCATCAAATTCGCAAGATAAAGAAACTTGACTAATAGATACCCCATAAACTCAACGAACGCCAATGCGAAGTACGTGTCGAGACGTGCCTTGCACTGCTCAACAGGCATACGCATGAAGGAATTCTGAACCGCATTATTACTTGTGACGAGAAATGGATCCTGTTTGACAATCGTAAGCGCTCAGCAAGTTGATTGGACCCTGATTCAGCACCCAAACAATGCCCTAAACGAAATGTCACACCTAGAAAAGTAATGGTTTGGTGGTCTAACGCGGGTGTAATTCATCACAGCTTCTTACCAAACGGGACGAGCATTACTGCTGACTGTGAAGAACTGAACGCAATAATGGAGAAGCTCTTACGTCTCCAACCAGTTTTGGTCGATCGTTCTGCTACACTGCTCCTGCACGACAACGCGCGACCTGATACTGCATAGCAGACAGTCTCCAAGCTACTTGTAGCTGGGGTTGAAAGTTCTCCGTCATTTGCCCTATTCACCAGACCTTGCACCTACAGGCTTCTACTTTTTCCAGAATTTGGATAACTTCAAGGCGGGAAAAAAATTCAATACCCGAAAGGCAGTAATTGTTGCCTCCCGTCCAGCTGATTTGCAAAGATGCATTGATTGCATGCGTGATCAAAGTATGATTAACAGAAATAAAAAATACATAAAAAATACGCTCCATTTATTTCATGAAAAACGGCAATTTTATAAGTAAAATCCTAATATTTATGCTTTATGGAGTCAAATGCTTTATTATAATCGAAGACAGCCAGATAATATACCTTGCTATATTCACAATATTTCTGCTCTATTCTACGCTTATTGTGTATGGTCTATAGTTGAGTAGTCTTTTCTAAAGCTGGCTTGTTCTTTTTGTTGGTTCTCTTCTAAATTGTTACTTATTCTATAAAGTATAACATTGGAAAAGATTTTATATAGATTAGGTATTAAACTGATTGGTCTATAGTTATTTATGTCTTTATCACCTTTTTGTGTAACAGAACTATTGTAAATCAGAATCTACAGTAGTTGTTGTTCAGTTATTTTTCGTTTTCAACGATTTCATTAAATAAGTTTGTGATGAAGTTAACTATAGACTCTAGACATCCTTTAATAGTTTCATTTGAGATTTGGTCTTTGCCTAGTGCTTTATAGTTTTTTGTACAGTTTCTGTAGAAACGTTTTGCTATTACAGTAATATGGATTCTATGGATTCTATTGGTTCTATTTTTCTTTTCTTTATTTTTTCTTACTTCTTGATATTCAGGGCGTGTTTTTGTTTGAGTTGCTTAAGAGCTATATATAATGTTGGATTAACTTATTTCTGATTTCTTTTTTGTGATATTTATGTTTTCTATTTCTTTCCTTGTTTGTCAATAATAGTTTCCTGTTTTTCATCAGTTTTATCATGTACCTATTTTATCCTTTTGACTTGTTATACAGGTTACTTTTTTGTTATATCTTTCAAGTCTTCTACCAGCAGATTATATTTTTAGGGTGTTTTTGGTGGTTCTCTATTGAGGATTTTCTTGTAATGGTAGCAACAGTTCTTCCGATAGCGGAGCATGTATTACTCTATCTCTATAAGAATCCTGATATATGAGATATTTCTAATACTACTGTAGCTGTTAATAGAATAGGTCTTTTCCCTCCTCTTTGGCAACTTCTGTTGGCGCATATATTTGATGATGGAGATTGGTTCAAATCCAGGTAATTGACTATTAAATTTCGCTATTCTATCTGACATTCCTTTAAAGTCTTTTGTGTCTCCGTACATGCCTGGTATTTTTCCAATATGGTATTTTTATTTTTTTATAAAGTATGCATTTTTTCCATTTTCTCTTGCTTCTTTTAGTTTGGGTAGGAGTCCCTTAATTTTATTTAGAGCTTCTCTGGGAAGGTCTTCTGTGGCATACATCCTTTCTGTAAACCTTTTGTTGTTATTTAACACAATATTGCGCCCCCATCAATTAGATTTCTTTTCCTCTCCAGGTTCGGTATTCTAGTTTTTATGATTTCTTCTTCCTATACTGAACATTAAATTACAATTTATTGTTAAAAAAAAAATATAAAATAATTATCAGACTTCTATGTACGCTTAAAAGTCTGTTATTCATGCAAAATACTAACATGTAGTGAATGATCTTTAGAAAATAACATACTATAGTAGTTATAGATTAAGGTGTCTACACATTTAGGAATGAGACTACACAATGCATGTCATGCCGTATGTTTACCTAGGGATTCACCATTAAGATTTTTAGTTGTTTCAACTTTTTGAAGAGTTGAATGAAAAACAAAAATAATCTTGATTATATCGAAACTAGAATTAAAATATCAGTGGGCTAACTGTCTAATTTTAAAATCTGTTGTAATTCAAAGAAATAGAGATTTATGGAATTATGTAACTTTTAACATCTCATTCGCTTTTAGAATGATGATCAGGAAAAAAAAAGTTGTTCAAGCCATCGAAAGTTCAAGCAGTAAGCTTTCAACACTTTCGTTTGACATTTTAAATAGCTTTTAAGCTTTGTTTGGATAATTCCAATTTGAGTAAAATTTCAGAAAGCCGCTGTGATCGCAAGCACTTGTAGTGTAAAGTTTCACAAACTTTACACTACTTTATATCCTTTAAATGTCAAATCCATAGGGATGGCAAGAGATTCTAAAATTAGGCTCCAGTTTGGGGTTATTGCACAAATAAAGTCTGTTTCTATTTTTTAGAAACCTTTAATAAAATAAATCTTACATTTGCTCTTGTTAAGTAACATAGCTTTTTGAATGAAGCCTTCTTTCTGGACGTTCAAAATTTTCATCTGACTTCCCCAGTTCAAAGTTAATTTGTTACATATATGTTATTTAGGTCCCATTAACTGGTTCCTCAGAAAATTTCTTAATATACTAATTATTATTTCCTTAAGATTTTAGTAGATTTTTTTTTGTGTTCCAGTTATCCAGGCATGTCAAAAAGCACGTGAACTTTTTGGTAAAGCTCGAGAAAAATATGCAAGTCTGAAACAGACTGTACCATCAACGGATTATTACAAGTAAGTAGATAGAATCCTAGCAACACTAAAAAATGCTAGTTTGTGAAGATTAATGTATGTTTATTATTCTTTCATCCAAAAGAATTGATTGATTGACCTGTCATATGTTTTTCAAAGGTGTCTACCCTCCATTAGTGATAATTGAATATAGTTTATACATAAAATAGAATAATATCTTAGCATCTATCTTTTCATCTGGAGGCCAGGAAGATTCGTAATTTGTAAATGTTTTGTTGTTATGCAGGCTGTCATAACTCGATAATTTTGAAACTACTTTAAAAAAAAATATGAATTAAAATAAAAGCTTTTTATAGGTTGACACGTAAATATGAAAAGAAATCTTAATGTAATTGATAATGTGCATTTTTTTACCTTATGACGAAAGAATATTTTTCCATAGAAGATGAAAAGAAACGTAGCAAACCGTCATTGGGTCTGAACGCATTGGGGTAATGTAGCAAACCGTCATTTTAAGATCCAAGATATATAAAATAAGCAAAACAACAGTTACATGATACAGAAACTAAAAAGTGCAATGTTGTGAGCTGTCTACTGGCTCCAATTCAGTGCAAGCAATGGGGGTTCCCCATTTCTCTGATGAATATGGTATATAAACATTCTGGGTTAAGGAAAAGAATAAATAAACAAATCCGATACCTGTCACATTGTATTTTTTGTCTTGGTCGGCTATCTTGTTAAATGTCCGAAATTCAGTACTAATAATGGAGTTGAATGGTGCTGTTCAAGCAAAGGACTAATCGTTCTATTTCAATCAGTTGTCCACACTATTTGTACCATTTTGTGAAAACATTAATTGATTCTATATAAAATTGTAAATTAATTATAAATACACGATATTTCATACATTGCCCAGATCCTAGATTAAGTGGCACTAGTATTTGCAAATCCGAAACAATAAAGATGCCAAAATCCAACTAATATATAGTTTTCTTAATTACCAGATAATATAGAAAAGTTGAAACTGAAGAGCTTGGCTACGGTGGTCTTTAAATTAATGTACACCTGTTTATTACTTTGACAATGTTTTTATTGCGTTTAGATACCATGATCACTGGCGTGGTGTGACCCAACAGTACTGCTTTCTAATATCCCTTGTGATATGGTTGGAAATGGGCATACTGGCTTCACATGAGACCATTGCAGAAGTGTTGGGCAGTAAGTATGACACTTGAAGTTATAGAACTCTTTTTTGGTAACCTTTGGTTTTATTTAAATTTATCGCAAAGTAGTCTTTTATAATAAACAGTAAACAGTAATAAGCGAGTTAAATAAGAATAGTATTGTCAAACGGTCATTTAGGTTTGTTTTGCGCTTCAACTTGAGGGTATTATTTGATATATTATATATGAGGGTATTAAACAAAGTCGCTTCCTCTGTCCCTATATCCCTATGCATGCTTAAATCTTTAAAACTGCGCAACGGATTTTGACGCGGTTTTTCTTTTTTCATAGATAAGGTGATTCAAATGGAAGGGTATTATTTATAATACAAGAACAAGCGGGCGAAGCCGCTGGCGGAAAGCTTGTATTCAATATTTGTTTTTAATAAATCCCGAAGTCATAAAACGGTCTCTCGTTAGGGTGACCATCAATACAAAATCGCCAACTTCAAAAGCAAAGAGTCGACCAAAGAAAATATATATTTTATTAATTCTTGATGATTTCCTCAATGACAAAAGGAACTACTGATGCTGCTGGTCTGAAAATTTTGTACTTTTGAATACCGCGAACACGGACTATTATTCAAAGAACCACAGTAATTCTTTTTAGGTGCTGCATTTTTAAGATTCAATTAAGTATAGCAAACAGCTGTTTGCTTTGATATCCGCCTCCAAATCCGAACGGCCTAGGTAGTTAGTGTGCCTAAATAGGCATATGGACGGGTCTACTCTGGGTACCCACTATTTAATCACTTAGCTTTTGAAACACAATATTTTATGCTATTATTAGCCGCCCTTGGCCCGGGCCTTCTTCGGCCTTAGCATAAATCCGCCACTAATGGAAAAACGTGTCTTGCAATTTTTGAGTTGTTTTATTTTTTAATAAAACTTGTTTTAATTGTATAAACGTGTGATTTTTAAGGGTCCTACAATGTTTGTTTACAGTTAGTTCTGTGGAAGAGAAGGAAGGTTTCCATTTAGACATTGAAGATTATCTTGTTGGATTACTGTTATTATGTTCGGAACTGGTAAGATTATTTTTTATTAAATTACTATACTTGCTCTTATACCTATGTTATATAGAAGGATTTCTTTTTTTTTGGAATTGTAAAGCGCCTTGGCCCGCTATCGTTGCTGTTAATCAACTTTAGCAAGGGTCAGTCACGGGATGGGTGACCAAAATATTATTATCACGAGCTACTCCGTGCTTCGGAAGGCACGTTAGGCCGTCGGTCCCGGCTGTATTTGCATTTGTTAACCAACCACAAGGAAGGCATGAGCCACTGCAGTGGGGACGTAAAGGGGCTGATGATAACTCGAATATTTGCATATACTCGAGATAATATCAGAACATGCGCAAAAATATACTTAATATCCAGCAATCCTTGATCGTTATGTAAAAAACAATCGTTCAATCGATCCATCTTTTCTACGCTCTGCTTTTCTCACATGAATGTGGTTTCATGCTCCTAAGAAATAAAAAAAAATACTCTTCACATCTCATGTCCATACTAACATAATCTTATTGCAATGGCACGGTCGCCGAACAGAGAGAATTTCGTACGTTGACCTTTGTGCCTACTGATAAATATTGTAAACATTTTAGGTTCACTTCACTGTGACAAAAATAACTAGATGCATCAGTGCGAGCGCAAGCAATACCTTAGCGCACAAGTTAAAGTCGGCATTACTTACAACCAGTTGCACAAACGTCCATTAAAAATTTAATTCGTTTAAAGCGTAATTACCCACACAAATTTGACATTTATTAGAGCTTAAAGGCGTCATTTAATCTTAATGGACGTTTGTGCAACTGACCGATAAAGTCTTTATAAGAAATTCTTTCTGTTCGGCGACCGTGATGTACTCATATGCTGACATTGGCGCTACTCTCTTACACCTTGGGTTTTATTTTGTCTAATGTTAATTTTTCTTTGTCGTAGTCTCGCTATGCAGTAAATTGTGTCACTAGGGGAGACTACGCCAAGCCTTCACAGATATCTAAGTTCATAATGGAACTTAACGCTGGGTTTAGGTGAGTATTATACAAGGAACTTTTTATTGTAACTAGCTGTTTTCCTGCGACTTCTTAATGATGTAGCTTCATGTAGGTGAAATAATTTTCGGGATCGGATCAATATTTCGGAAGATTAGCCCCTACAAACAAATAAAGTTCTGCCTATGTTATGATGATAGTATATGCTAATTAATTTAATAAATACAGGCATCTTTTTAAATAAGCAGTCTTGTACTAATATTCATATTAGAACAAGACTGATCATGCATGAAACATGATAGATAGTCAAAATTTTGAATATTAACAAGGCTTCCATCTTTTAGTGATGTGATAATAAAAAAATCTGTAAACAGAAATTCGATGTTATCGAGTTCATAAATGAAACACTTTTAACCGGTTTCATTGTGTTTGCATTTAGTTTTATTGACGTTTCGGGCCCCTTAACAGAGCGCTTAGTGTAAGTTTTTTTGACGTTTACGCTCACTGTCGATCGTGAGCGCGTTAAGATTTTAGTATGGAATCCGGTACAGCGCCCCTAGCGGTAACTACCAAGAACTACAAATCTCCATACAAATTCTTAACGCGCTCATTACTTAACTCGTTTGCGTAAAACTTACACTTACCACTCAGGTTCCGTGTTCGCGATGAAACCGTTTAAAAGCTATTTCATTTATGGATAGTGCGCGTGAAAATATAAAAAATCAATATTATGGAGTTCATTTCTAATCGAAATAATCGATTTTGAAATAAAAAAAAATTAATAAAAATATTTATTCGTCAAAAAGATTTAGCAAAATTACGAGATTCTCCACCTAAATAAATAATTAATTGAAGTGTACTGTTTATTTTAATAACCCTAACCTAGTCGGGTATTATAAAGCTTTTTGTTAGTCCTATTTTTCAATAAGTAATCAGAATATCTTCTATCTTCTTATATATCTATCTTCATCGTATTGAAGTTGTTTCTATAGACAAGAAATCGGCCGTTTTAAGTGTTGATATTTATTAGTAAACTATATAAATATAATAAATAATTACTAAAGTATTCAATAATACATAAATGTTATATAAAATTGTATTGTAATAAAAAATGTAATGGCAACAATAATCTAAAATTATCAAATGATTACCGAATGCCATTTTACGATTAAAACGATTTTGTTGATTCAATCTCTATTAAAAATATGTTCCATGTAAGTTTCCGGTATTGATTTTTTTTTTTACTTTAGTGGATTGGATTTCTGTAATTATGGATATTAAAAATTTATTTCTGTTTTAAAATGCAAATTTTAATTAATAAATCTAATAAATACACAATCAGACTATCTTTTATAAGGATGATTTTTAATCATTTGGAAACACAAATTGCGTGAAATGTTAATGAATGAATTTATTTTTTAATAAACGTTGTCGTACCCATCCCATGTGAAACGGACTATAGTTAATAATATTTGTTGTAGGTTACTTAATTTGAAGAACGACCATCTACGTAAGCGATTCGACGCATTGAAATACGACGTGAAGAAAATAGAAGAAGTAGTTTATGATCTCAGTATTAGAGGATTACTGCCAAAACCAGAGAGCGGAGAGGGACAAAAATAAATGCATAGACTAATGAGACTAATATAGACTGTTTTTATTTTATAATAATTTAGAGTATAAAGCTATGGAATAACTAAAGCGCTGAGAAGGAGAAGTTCGTGTTACAATCGCTGTATTAGTACAATTAGTATAAACAATAGTTTTACTTTAGTATGTTTTATGGAGAGTACTTTTTAGTGTGCGTGTATGTGTGCCACAATAATTTGAACTTCACTTTCATATTTAAAGATATGTGATTTCTTTGTGAGGAGTCGAAGTTGTTTTTGATCTGATACACAAGCTTTTCCCATGTTTCATAATGACTGATTTGCATTATGAATTTTTTTACTAACACTTTGACAGCGGATCACGTCCAACGTACGTGGCGCTTATTTTATGCTAATTAGCCGCATACATAATGAGCGTACCATTCTGGGCGCGCCGGCACTTTTTGACCATTTTGTTAGTTTCATAGAAAAAAAACTATAACAGTTGCGGCCATGATTTTTAATCATTGTATTGAAGGTATTTTATATTATTATATAAAATAATAAAAACATATGTAATTGGTTTTTTTTTATTATAAAATCAACTTAGAATGAGGCACGTTTTCAAAAAAAAAAACTATCATCAAAATTTTTCGAATTTTATGACGTGTAGTCTTTCCTGGTGTGATATTTTTTGAAGCACGGGTCATAACACAAGGGCACGTTGCAATCTGGGCAGTAAAAAATTGTTTCCTTGCGACCTTGCTTACCCGTTTCCTTCTTGGTAGTGTCAGCGCAGACTTTGCAAACTCTTGCTACTTTCGTTTTCGATCCTGTCGCCGGTATCCTTTCCATGAAGTGTCTGCCTGTTAATCTGGAGGTCATACCCGTATGATGTGGACCACGAGATGGGCCTGCATCAGCTAAGGATGCATGCTGCACCAGTTCTTCACCACAAGTCATCAAAAACTGCGAAAAACGCAATTTACGACCCGTGTTGTTTCTACTTCTGTTATAGATTACGTAAGCATTGACTAAAGCCCTCGCAACCAGATTAAAAAACATCTTCTTCCACCATTTCATTGTTTTTCTATTTAAAGAATAGAATGAAACATACTGATCGTTGAGATCCACGCCAATTTTGTTGTGATTGTAATCGATGATGCAATCAGGCTTCTGTTTTTTGACGACTCCAACTCCTTTGCGTTTAGCTGTTACCTCCGTCCAAGTAGCGGCGTGTTTTGTTGTGAGCATCAGCACGTCCCGCTTATCCTTCCACTTACAAGCGGTCATATTTTCACGATGACAGAAGACCATTTCATTGACCTCTAAAAACTGTTGAAGCCATGTTCTAGGCAAACCACGCCGATTGGCCATAACTGTTCCAACAGCACGGGTTTGTTTTTGCCAAAGCAAGTCAAAAGTAGTTGGGCTGGTAAAAAAACGGTCCATGTAAATGGTGTGCCATTTTCCAATGTATGGTTCGCACAATTCCATAATTATGCTCTGTGTAGTCTTTGAGTCGCCAACGTATGGAACCATCTTCAATATATAGCCGGTTTTAGCATCGCAAAGCATATAAATTTTCATGCCGTATTTGTCGGGCTTATCTTTGTTATACACCCGAAAATGTACTTTACCTCTAAAACCACATGTTCCTTCATCGATAGTTAGTTCTTCATCGGGAGAAAGGTTCATCTGACACAAATTCGAAAGCTCCTCAAAATATGGCCGCAGTTTAAAAAAAGCGTCATATCCTTCCTGGCCTCGTGGTATATATTTTGAGTTGTCATTCAGATGTAGACAACTGTATATGGCGCTAAAGCGAGATCTAGTCATGATTTTTTTTGGGAATGGAGTTTGTATAATCTCTCTAGTGGACCAATATGAATCGAAACTTTCTTTCTCAACAAGCGTCATATGGATTACGATGGCCAAAAAGTTCTTTATTTCACGCAATGTAACTGGTTTCCAATTATACAACATGCTTCCAGGCTTTAACACACCCTGTCTAGCTTGCTTTGCCTTCATTTGACTTGCATAGCGATTTGTTTCTTCTTTGAGAAGTTTCCAAAAAGAGTCTGGGAAAAAGACTGAAAAACAGTCAAATTCCGTTGAATGTTCATCAATTGGAGGCATAACTATACATAGATCCTGAAAGACAGGATTTTCAGGTAGATTTTCAACTGGTTTATATGACCATCCATTGGCTTCATCAATTTGTTTGACATTTTGTACTGTACCTCTGCCGCGGCTGCGAGTTGAACGCGAACGCACTGACGAACGAATACGACTGCGACCTGTTCTTCTAATCCTTGACCTTCCCCTTGTCCTTATCGGTGCTTGACCCCGGTCTGGTATGTCCTCATCACTAACGTCTAATTGTTCTTGACCGGCTCTAAACTCGTCTATTGCCTCTGAAAAACAAAACATGTAGGTACTTATTCAAAACCAAAAGCGATTACGATCATACAAAAACACAAGTAAATCAATAGCTTACCTTCAGTTTCTATTATCGTGGTGTTCTCCTCAATGTCCGAATCCTCATCATTTTGCAAAATTTCAATAATATCTCTAGTGTCTCTTTCCGAATCCAAACGAAATCGTCGTCGCGAAGCCATTTCGCGCCAAAAATTGTCACACGCCTCGATCGCTTAGCTACGCTGGGGCAACTGGCGCGCGTGAGTCGACCCGGCTCGGGCGATCCTTTGTTCCCCGCACCCCACACACCGCAAGTATTTGAAGTGCGTTTGTGTGTGTAGCCAAAACATTCATCTAAAATTTGACATGACGCGGATCACGCTCACAGGCAGTTGTTTTAAAGTAAACAGTATTGAAATTCACACACGTACGCAGTACGTGATCAGCGTCTCTAACAAAAAAAACTGTCACGGACAGGGGACGTGATCGGCTGTCAGAGATTGGAAATAAATAAAATGCTTGGCTGTCAAAGTGCTAATTGTCTTTCTAATGGTGTTTAAATTTCAGTACGTTTAATATAGTTGGTATTATTTGAAAGATTATAGAGAGGACAGAGGTTAATTTGTTACATCTGAAAGTTATTTGAGAAAAAATAGATTTTACATTTTTCATTCCTATAATTGTTGGATGGATATGTTTGGTTGCGCTATTTAGACTTATTAATACAAAATAAGTAAAATAATGATTAGATTAAGTTTATTGAAATTTTTGAATAAAAATTGAATTCACTACATATGGGTTTTATTTTGTTAAACTAGCGGTATAGATAGGGCAGGCCTTTCTCTCACTTCAAGTATAAACTTTTCGATGTCAAACATTGTACAATGTATTGTTTATAAATAAAGCTTGTCGATGGATTACGGGTATGTTCCAATATACACTGCGACCACTGAACAATATGACGTCAATTTAGTATACTGGAAGCGCGTTCCTTTATAGCTAGTTATACTGGTGAATTTTTAAAACGGAACGCAGTCCAGTATACTGTTAATCCTTTTTTTTGGCGCCATTTTCAAATTTGTTAATGCAAGTAATATAAAGATTCCCTCTTTTCAAAAATATTATAAAATTGGAAAATTGTATAAAAAAATTATTTACCCATCTTATAATAAACGTAAGTATTTTTTTTGTTTATTTAGAAACTTATCATTTTCTGATTTTGTTTCGACTGATCACGTGATCAAAAGCACTGCGAGCACCTTACCTCGAAATCTCCAGTGCTCACAGTACAAATATGGCGGCAATATATGACGTCATGAATTTCCCAGGGTACTGTATCAGTGTACTGGTAGTCCATAACGGAACGGATTTTTCAGCAGTTAGACCACTGCGCAGTGCTCGCAGTGTATATCGGAACATACCCTATATCATATCCTTGCTTGGTGAGAGACAACGCTGAAATGACGCTAGGTTATGGTAGGAAATGGCGCCACGTTCTGCGGCGTGAGCGCCACCAATAGCGACATTGCGCGCGCACATTGCCAATCGTCGTATCGCCGTGTGGAGACGCGTTCATAAAGAGTATAATTATAGAAATACGTGGCACGACGATAATATCGCCGCGATTCTCTCGCTCATGGAGATGGCGCCTTTGAAGATGATGAAAGATCAAAAAATTTCTCTATGCGAATGACGTATGAAATACGTTATTATTATAGTATAAAATATAGTAATAGTACATTAATTAACACTTTGTCGACAATTCGTATGCTTTAGTTTAATTTCATACCATTTTATAAAATAAATGCTATATAATAAATAATTGCCATTTGAACATAAGTTCAAAAGCCTAGAAAAAAATAATTATAATTTAATTGCCATATTTAGGGTTCTGTATTGTTCCGAACCTTTTGATTGACTCGAATGTATGTCTGTCCATTTACTAGTCACATGCATCTGATTTGCTGCGTTACTTGACAATATGGCGGCCTTTTTGAATCGTAAAATAGAAAATTAAAAAGTATCTGTAAGTTACTAAATAGAAAAGTAAGAAATATTTTAAGTTAATCAAGAAAATAGGCGGGCATTGTCATTAAATTCAAAAATTTGGATAAAAAACGTGATTCCTTTACACCAAATTGTATTAAGTGGGTGATAGACCTGTGAGTAAGTACGCGAACTTGTGGCTCGACGACCATTTTCGCTTGTCTCCTTAAGTACGGGTATTTTCCGTACATAGAAAGGTCGTTGAGCCACAAGTTCGCGTACTTACTCGCACGTGTATCACCCTTAGAAGCCTTTTAATTTCAAAAAAATTACAACGAATGTTTATACAGGGGCTTCGGTACGAGAATTCGATTCGCTCTTAGTTGGTTATTTTTATTACCAGCCCTGCGATTTTGTAAAATCCAAACCCGAATTCGAATTCACTCAGGTGTCTGAATTCACTTCAAACAGCGGCATCCGCTCAACCTTGAATTGGTAATAACGTTTCGTGGCATAGGTGAAGTGAGTTTCGAAATGACATAGGAACAGAATATCTATGATATGTATAATCAATCAATTTGTTTTGTATTTTTATACAAAAAAAAAATGGAATCAATAGAATTTCTACACTAAATTATGTGGATTCGGACACATTCGGGTCTAGATTTTTACAGAACGCACAGCAGGGGAGCGGTTCTGTAACAATCCGAACCAGAATTCGAATTCTATCTATCATTATATCATTTCGAAACAGGGTTATTTTCGTCGTTATTATGGATAACGTTTCGAATGCACAATACAAAACACATTTAACAGTATCACTTTTTTATTTTACAAACACAACTTCAATTATATTACAGTACAGTAAAGTTAAAATATTACAATACAATTACAATGCAGAT